CTCTCTGTAAAAAATCAATAAAATATATTTTTTCAAAAAGTAGAAGAAAACATAGGAAGATGCATTTGTCTTGGGGTACAGAAGGCTGTCTTAAAACACAAAATGAGAAGTTGGAAGGGAATAAGGTTAGTAAATGTGAGCTCTTTGACATTCCCCAGCCCTGTCTGAGGAAAGTCACATGGATCAGAGCACTGGCCGAAATGATGTACTCATAAATGCTGTGGAGCAAGGGTATAGCCCCGAACACCGCAGGGTCAAGGGCATGTACCCAGGCTGCAGGTTCAATCCCCCACCACCGTGGGGCATGTGGGGGAGTTCAGGAGGCAACCAATCTATGTGTCTTTCTCATTTTGATGTTTCCCCCACCCCTCTCTCTCTCCTCCCCCCTCCTGCTCGGGTGAGGATTAGTAAACAAACAAGAGTCATCTAGAAAGAAACCCCAGGGCCGACCCAGTCCAAAGTTGGGTAAAACATGTGACTCGTCATTTCCCAGAACAGGAAGTACAATTGGCCAATGCACATTCGGGGGTGCTGGGAAGACTGTCCAACTTTAGTCGCAGTCACTTAAAAAACCAAAACAGGCCCTAGCCCTGTAGCACAGGGGGTTAGTGTCATCCCAATAGGCCGAGGTTGCGGGTTCGATTCCCGGTCAGGGTACATACAATAATCAACAATGAATGCATAAATAAGGGGAACAACAAATCAGTGTCCGTCCGTCCCCCCTCTTGCTTTAAAAATCAAAACAAAAGCCCTGGATGGGGGGTTCAGTGGTTAGAGCATCGGCCTGCACACCAAGGGTTAAGGGTTCAATTCCTGGTCCAGGGCATGTACCTGGGTTGCAGGTTTGATTGTGGGGGAGGTAACCCATCAATTTGCTCCTCTCACATCAATATTTCTCTCTACCCTCAGCCCTCCCTCCCACTCTCTCTAAAGGTTAATGGGGGAAATACCCTCGGGGAATGATTAACAACAAAAAAAACTGAAACAACAATAAGGTATTTTTGACGATCAGGTTGTCCAAACTAAACAAGGGCAGTATCCCACGTGGGTGAAGGCACTTAGGTGTACTTGAGTGTGCCTTGCGAGAAGGCAAGTTGCCAGTTTCTATCCAGATACACAAAGAGGCCCTAGACACCTTGACCAGGACTGAAGGGTCCCAGTTCGATTCCAGTCAAGGGCACATACCTGGGTTGTGGGCTCCATCCCCAGTAGGGGGCATGCAGGAGGCAGCGGATCAATGATTCTCATCATTGATGTTTCTCTCTCTCCTTCTCCCTTCCTTTATGAAATCATATATATATATATATATATATATATATATATATATATTTAAAAAGATACACATAGAGGCCCTAGCCAGCCTGGCTCAGTGGCTAGAGCATCGGCCTACAGGCGTAAGGGTCCCGGGTCCAACTCGGGTCAAGAGCACATGCTGGGTGGCTCTCACAGAAAGCTCAACCAGAAGCATCCCCTACAGCACTGGTGGGGGGCGGAGGGATAGGGAAACTGGAAACAACCTAAATATACAGCAAGAGTCCAGCCATATACAGCGGCAAGTGCTTCAATGAGAGCAGTTGAAAGGGGGGTTGGGGAGCCCTATATGGTGTGGCTCAGTGGATAGAGTGTCGGCCCCTGGACTGAAGGATTCCGGGTTCGATCTCAGTCAAGGGCACGTACCTCGGTTGCAGGCTTGATCCCGGAACCCCTGGTCGATGTGTGTGCAGGAGGCAACCAATCAGTGTGTCTCTCTCACGTCCATGTTTCTCCGTGTGTCTCTTCCCCCACCCCTTCCACTGTCTAAAAAAAAATGGAAATTGCTCCAAGAGAGATTGTAAAGTGGAAAATGTAAGATGCAGAGCAGAGTGAGTCACAAAACATCAAGTTTTTTTCCTTGGCGAGAAAACCGAGAAGTATGTAAATCCGAGTATGTGTTTGGATGCTTGGAAATTTTGGGGGAAGGATTCAGAGATTATTTAAGGAAGAGGAGGAAGGGGAAGAGAGAGACTGTTACACGTGCTCCGGCGATGATCGGATTTTTAAAAAACCACGAACATATTTTCGCTTTGTCTTTTTTAAACGCCGTCATTTAAAATAACCTGGTCGCTTATGTATGAATGGATGGCTTTCGAGGTGGTTCTCATTTGAAATCTGAGTGTTGTGGGGGGGGGGGGAGGTTGGGGAGGAAGAAGAGATCTCACTTTCGGGAGATCTGGAAAGAAACCCAAGGCTACTTCAGCGCGCGAGGGATCCTACTTTCTAAATAAGGGAATCGTTAGCGCTGCCAGAAGCTCTAACTCAAGAGCTATGCCAAATTCTGAGCCTCGGGGTTGACACTCATGGTGTTACTAAATCCTCCCAATGGCCCATTTCACAGAGAAGGAAACTGAGTCTTAGCGTGCCCTGGCTTGTTCCAGTTCATAAGCGAACAGAACGGTGGGCGTGGCCCTAACCGGTGTGGCTCAGTGGATAGAGCGTCGGCCTGCAGACTCAAGGGTCCCAGGTTCGATTCCGGTCAAGGGCATGTACCTTGGTTGCGGGCACATCCCTAGTAGGAGGTGTGCAGGAGGCAACTGATCGATGTTCCTCTCTCATCGATGTTTCTAACTCTCTATCTCTCTCCCTTCCTCTCTGTGAAAAATCAATAAAATATATTAAATAAGTAAAAACAAAAACGGTGGACAGGGCATTCCAGTTTAGATCTCTTTAGCTCCAAAGTTCATGATCTCACTACTCCCCGATACTGGTCACTCACGGAAGTGAGAAGGAATGAAAGAAAGGAGGATGAGGGAGAGAGATAAGGAAATCTTGGGGCGAGGTGAGCAGCAAAGAGAAAATATGAGTCGTTGGAAATGGGATGTCAGCAACATACGGGGGGATGGATGGATGGCGGGTCGGGAGGATGGATGGATGGCGGGGCGGGAGGGGGGGGGGGTGTACTCACCATCGGAGGTGACGCCCGTGTGACACAGAGGCCCTGTGGAAGGTTGAGGGGGCTCGGTCTTGTCAAAGCCTCACACCAGGGACAACCTCGGAATCTAAGTCCCCAGCCCTCTTTCTTCTGAGTGAACCTTGGCCTCACTTCCTCCGGACTCAGGAGCCCCCAAACCAGACTCCCACCTGCTGAAGCCAGAAATCTGGGCCCAGGACCTTCTTGCCTCTGTACCCAAGAACTAAGCCCTTGGACCCCACCTCTCCCAGGAGATGGTAATCTGAGCCTCCAGTTTCTCCTTGTTGGGGTTCAGGAGTCTGGGCTGCAGCTCCCCCTGATCTCAGGGACCCCGATGTCCTGGCTTCCACCTACCTCCGCCGCCCCCCCCCACCCCCCAAAACCTCAGAACCTGGGACTTGATTGTCCTTCTCCCTCAGGGGTCTAGCTCTCTCCTGCCCCAAGAGCCAGAGGATCCTGTGCCCAACTTCCTCTTCTCCCAGGAACGGGGGTTTCCGGGCCCCTGTGTTCTCATGCTTTAGGACCCCAGGGTCTGGCCCCCTCCTGTCCCACTATTCTGGCCTGGAGTGCTGAACCCTTAGCTGATTCTGCCTGACCACCCTGCACGTGCACCCCAAAGTTCGTCCCTTGCTTCTCCCCCGCCCCATTCGCTAGGTGTCTAGGTCTCCAGAGCCTGCCTTTCTGTACCCCAGCCCCGCTGGGGACCCGGAGAGAGGGTGTGGGGGGCTCACACGAGAGGACCAGCAGCTGGAGGGTCAGTACCAGGGCCATGGTGGGCAGGTCTGGCCGGAGCCGGAGCCGGAGCCGAAGGCAGGGCTCAACCCGGCTCTCTTACCTCCCAGGAAGTGAGGCAACATCAGAGTCAGAGTCAGAACCCTGCTGAGGGAGGGGAGCGGGAAGGGGGGGGAGGGAGGCGGGGGAGCCCGGAGGACCGTGTCACAGCCCCATAGTGCGGTGGGAAAAGTTGGGTTGGGGTAGAGTTCAGTAATTAAAATTTAAAAACAATTAGCAACTGTCCTAGCCGGTGTTGCTCAGTGGGTAGAGCGTTGGCCTGCGGACTGAAGGGTCCCAGGTTCGATTCCGGTCAAGGGCATGTACCTTGGTTGCGGGCACATCCCCAGTAGGGGGCGTGCAGGAGGCAGCTGATGGATGTTTCTCTCTCATCGATGTTTCTGACTCTGCTACGTGATTCTGGGGGCACAGAGAGGAGTCAGGACCCGGCAGCTGCCTCCCAGCAGCTCCCTGTCTGATGGAAAGACAGCTGCGGACCAGGTCAGTTTAAAAACAGGTGCTGTGCGCTGTAATGGAGAGGGGCACCGTGAGCGTCCACAGGAGACCCATGCTGAGTGTTGGCGTTTCAGGACGAACTGATTTTGAGCGGAGGCCTCACAGGAAAGCTCAGGTCATTGGTCCTCTCCCAGCCTCCACTTCCCCATCTGTAAAATGGGCTCCCATAGGTAAACTAAGACATGAGAGCTACTGCCGTCCGCCTGGGCTGAGCCGCAACAGCGGGAGTGGGGAGAAGCTTCTCCTCCAGAGCGACGTCTGGGCGGAGAGAGGAAAGAGGGCGGCGGCAGGTGTGCCAAGACGGGCTTGCTCTTCAAAAAGAGGAACGTCGCCATAGACCTCCCTTCTGCTCCAGCGCGCACGCGCGGAACCCAGGGCTCCTTGGGCACAGGGACCACAACTCCCAGAGTGCTCCGCGCCATCGCCGCTGCCTTGGATCGCTGTTCTACGCCATTGCGCACGCGCAGACGCAGACCGCCGAGCCTCGGGATCAGGGACTACAATACCCAGGGTGCTCCGCGCCCTCGCTGCGGCCTGGGATCGCTGGTCTACGCCGTTGCGCAAGCGCAGACGCAGACCGCCGAGCCTCGGGAGCAGGGACTACAATACCCGGCGTGCTCCGCGCCCTCGCTGCGGCCTGGGTCGCTGGTCTACGCCATTGCGCACGCGCAGACGCACACCTACGAGCCCCGGGAGCAGGGACTACAATACCCGGCGTGCTCCGCGCCGCCGCCGTCGCCGCCGCCGCCGCCGCCGCGAGACCAAGATGGCCGGGAGTAAGTTCTGGTGCAGCTGGAGCGTGGGGCGCGGGGCGGACGCGGGCGGTGCGGGGCTGGGGCGCGGCGGTGCCCCCGCGGAGGCGGTGGCGTCGTGGCCGGAGGGGGTCGCTGAGGCCACGCGAGGGCTCCTCCAGGGCCGGGGCGGCGCGAGAGGGCTAGATAGAGGTCACCGGGGGCACTCCCTGCGGAGTGACCCTGCCCGCCCGCCCGCCCCTCCAGGAATCGCGCACTTCATCAAGGATGCCTGGGCCAAGGAGCCGGTGCTGGTCGCGTCCTTCGCCATCGGGGGCGTCAGTGCGTGAGAGCGAGCGTGCATCACCCCCACCGGTGTCCCCACCCCCCGCCCCAAAGTCCCGTGGCCCCCCTCGGGGTTCCGTCCTGACCCCCGGCCGCCCTGACGTTCCGTGTCCCCTCCCCCCCTGTGTGTCAACACCCTCACGGGGGCCCCTGGCCCACCCCATCCCCAATTCTATGGTCCCTTCCCCTCCCCCCCCCCCTTCTGCACCTCGAGGTCCACAGTCCCTTTCAAGGAGGGGCGCCCAGGCCTGGCCGCGCAGGAAACCCCTGAGCGATAACCAATGGCGGCGATGCAGATCCTCCCCGCGTTCACCCTCCCTCCTCCCCACCCCCCAGCGACTTCACTGTGCGCCCCATGGAGACCCTCTGCTCTGGGACAGGGGGGCGCATCCTTGAAGGTGCACGGGGGTCACGTCACTTGGGGGCACAGACGAAGAAGGGTCCCAGGTTCATTCTGGTCCCAGGCGGGGCCATGTGCAGGAGGCAACCCATCCATCCGTGTGTTTCTCTCACAGTGACGTCCCTGTCTATCCCTCTCTCTCAGATTCTGTGGGACAATGTCCTCGGGTGAGGATTTTAAAAATGTTAAAGAGCAGGCTTGGATTTGGGCGGGGGGGGGGGGGGGGAGGTGGGGAGGAGAGAGACCTGAGCCTTTCAGCGTCCCGTCTTGTCAGCGCCGTGTCCGCCGGCCATTGGGCCAGGCTCTCAGAAGCCAGTTGTCCCGTTAGCCAGGGAGCAGCAGCCCTTGAAATGCTAGACCTACCATGACAGAAGGTATCCGCAGTGTCTGGTGTGCTGAAACTGACTTGGATGTACCAGGTTAAATACACCTTAAGACATTTGGCTCAGTGGCTAGTGTGGCCTGTGGGCCGAGGGGTCCGATTCCCCTCGGTTGCAGGCTCCATTTAGGCTGGTCTGGGCACGTCCAGGAGGCAACCAATCAATGTCTCTCCCTCACATCAATGTTTCTCCATCTCTTCCCCCTCCCATGCACTCTCCTTAAAAATAAGTATCAGTGGGAAAAGTGTCCTGGGGTGAGGGCTAACGAAAAGCATATCCACTAGAGGCCCAGTGCACGGATTCATGCACAGGTGGGGTCCGGCTGGCCTGCCCCATCAGGGCTGATTGGGCTGGCTGAGGGGCTGCCCTCCCCCCCTCCAGTCGGAACTCCTCGTTGAGGGAACAATTTGCCTATTAGCCGTTTATTATACAGAATATTATCTAACTTGTTTCCACCGCAATGTGGCCATTAGAAATGTAGTCACGTGTCAGTGTTGGCCTAGAGCGTCCCTTTCTGTGCCCTGCCCCACCCCCAGGCCCCCTGGCGGACTGTTCCCGCACAGCCCCTCTCTCTCAGCGTGTCCAGGGTTCCCCTGGAACGTTCCCAAGATGCTCCCTCACCTCTGGGGACCCCTCTCCACACCAACCCTCAGTCCACCCCCCCTCCCCACTTCCCTCTGTGCCCTCCAGGTCTCCCCCCCAAAAAAAAAATAAACCCTTCTGAGAAGTGGGGACCCTGGGGTGCCCATGGGCCTCTTGGAGGTGCTATACCTGACCCCCTCCCCCCTCCCCATGCACTCAGCCCCCACGTTGCCAGGGTTCGGCTCCTGCCCCTCCCCTCCCAGAGCCCTCTTCCCGGGGCCTCACCCCCGTGTCTCCACAGCTTTGCTTCTGCCCTTCATCAGCCCCTTCACCAAGTACGCCATCATGATCAACGAGGTCACACCCTACACCTACCCAGGTGAGTGGGCTGTCCGCCCGTCCGGTTTCCCGCGTCCCTAGGTCTCCGTATCCCCGATGGTCTGTGTGTCTGGTGCTCTGACCCTCCCTCTCCCGTCTCCTCGCCCCGGGGCCCCCGGTCCCCTCTGTGAATGTGCACCCCCAGGCCAGCCCTTCTCAGGAGCCCAGGAGAGCGGCTGGTCTCAGCGCCCGCCCTCCTGCCCGCAGTGCCCGTCCGCGATGACGGGAACATGCCCGACGTGCCCAGCCACCCCCAGGACCCCCAGGGCCGCAGCCTGGAGTGGCTGAAGAACCTGTGAACCCACAGAGAGGAGGTCCCCTCCCGTCGCCCCCAATAAAATGTGAAAACCGACCCAGAGTCCAGTGTGTGTGATCAGAGGCGGGAGCAGCAGTGGCCGAGGAGAGCATGGGGTCTGTTTATTGGGGGGAAGGGGGGTGTCAGTCAAAGGGGGGGCTGGCTAGGGTGGGGTAGGGCAGCAGCTTGTCTGGCCCCCGAGTAACCCAACTGGAGTCCAGGGCCTCGTCTGCTTCGAAGCCAAAGTCTTCCTCCACCTTTATCTGGGGGCGAAACGCTCCGTGTGAGGTGGCCCGGGGCTGGGGGAGGCTCCTGGGCCCCACCATTCCTGCACTCGGGGGCCGGCAGCCTCCTGGGGCACCCCAGGAAGTCCCAGCGTGCCTGGGTCCCCGTGGTCTCCAGCCTCGTCTCCCCTCCCATCTCCCTCCAAGCCTTCCTGGCTTTCCCCACCTTCCTCCTTCCAACCCCAACCCTCTGCCAGCCCCTGGCCTCTGGCCCCTGACCCCGGGCCTCCCACCTGCACGGGGGGCAGCTCCGGGGTCAGCGGGACTCCCGCTCGGCGTCCCTCCCGGGGCGCTCGCCGCCTCTTCCGCCCGCTGGGCCCCTCGCCGGGGGCCGGGCTGCTGGCTTCGGGGGCCGGCGTCCTCCTGGGCGGGGACAGCCCCTCCTTCTCCGGAGGCTCGTTCTCAGCGTTGCCCGGGGTGGGGGCGTCTGTGCCCTGGCTGCCCTCGTCCTGGAGGGAGGCGGGCGGCAGGTGAGGACCGTGTCCTGGGCTCCCGGCTCCCCCGGCCCCCTGCCCCCCTGCTCACCTCCAGCAAGATGGTGAACTGGCTGGCCCGGTAGTCGTCGCCGTAGGAGTCCAGCACCCTCATGAGGAACCTGCACCCGGAGAGGAGTCGCCAGGGGACCCCTTGGTCTCTGACGGACAGGGGAAGGGGCCCCACAGCTGGCTCTGACCCCCTCTGAAGCCAGAAGGGCTGGGGTCTGAGACCTGGGTGCCAGCCAGTGGACTTGGGGCAGGAGAAGCGACTCCACCCCTTAGCTTCCCGCTGTCATCGGGAGGGACAACCCCACCTGCAGGGACGGCTGTGACATCACAACCAGACCAGGCCGGCCGCAGAGCACACGGGGGATGTGGGCTTAGCAGTCATTCAATGTGGCCTTCATCTTTATTCATAACTAACGGGCCAGAGGGGCCTGTGCAGGACACCCCGGGCAGCCTCAGCTCTCACGGGCACTGCCTGCTCCTCCCCATCCCTGCTTCTGAAAACTCCGTCTTGCCCTAGCTGGTGTGGCCTGCAACCAAGTGCGTGCTCTTGACCTGAATCGAACCCAGGACCCTTTGGTTTGCAAGCTCATGCTCTATTCCCGTGGTTGGTAAACTGTGGCTCTCGAGCCGCAGTTTGCCGGTCTGTTGACTCATGAGTTTGCCGACCACTGCATAAGGCATTACCCTTCCCCAGAGGTTTTGACTTCAGGTTAAAGACATTAGTATGATACTAAAATGGTTTTTTTTTTTTTTTTTAAGTGTTTTTCCCTAAGGCAGTGGTCGACAAACTCATGAGTCAACAGAGCCGCAGTTTGCCGACCACTGCTCTATCCACTGAGCCAAACCAGCTAGGCCTGGGCCTGGGGCTCTTAAGGCCAGAATCTCTTCCTTTGCTGCCCCCTCAGCTCGGGGTGTACACCCACTCCCCTAGGCCTGGGCAGTTTTCGTCCCGCTTTTGAACAATTCGTCCCGTGGCGTTTTAAAAAGTCCCGATTTTTTTTTCGGGACTTTTTTAAAACACCGTGGGACCGATTGTTAAAAATCAGGACATCTGCCCTGGCCGGTTTGGTTCAGTGGATAGAGCATCGGCTTGCGGACTAAAGGGTCCTGGGTTCGATTCTGGTCAAGGGCATGTACCTTGGTTGCAGGCACATCCCTGGTGGGGGATATGCAGGAGGCAGCTGATGGATGTTTCTCTCGTCGAGGTTTCTAATTCTCTCTCCCTCTCCCTTCCTCTCTGTAAAAAATCAATAAAATATATATATTTTTTAAAAAATCGGGACATCTGGTCACCTTATGCAAGACCCAATCCCACTCCTGGTCCCACCACCCTCCTCTGCAGGCCTCAGCCCTCCACCCTCCTCTGCAGCCTCGTCTCCTCCTGGCCCCAGGTGGCCAGCCGGGCAGACTTCTCGAAAGGTGGAGAAGTGAGAAGCCTGGGAAAGGTCCGGGGCAGAAGCCTGCCGGCCGGTCAGGTGCACAATGGTTACCTCCGCTCCTGCTGGAGTCTCCGTGTTATCCTCTGTACCTGGTGGAGCCTGTTCAGGACCCGCTCGTTCACCTGCGGGGAGGGGGCGAGCACAGGTCAGCTGCACCCACTCAACAGGCGCTGCGGGTGCAGCCAGCCCAGCTGGGGGCCAGGGGGCCAGCCCGCAGGTCATCTGTGGACCGGAAGGGGCTGTCCCTCCTGCATCTGCCCACACTGGCCTCCGCGATGCGCGACAGGCGCCTGTGAGGCATCAGCGAGCTGATCTGGGCTGTCCCCGGAGCCCCTGGAGGAGACAGCACTCCAGGTGTGGAATGAACGGACGATGCAGGAAAGACTCATCCTGCTGGGCAAGAGGCTGTGCCCGCCCGCGCCCAGGGAGGGGGGGTGAGCACTCAAGGCCAGGGGACCCCAAAACGGAATCCACACTCACCTACCTGCTCGATCTCCCTGCAGCGCCGGCCTAGCGCCTGGTACTTCCTGCGATTGAGCTCCCGTTGGCGCCGCCGCCGGCCTCGGGCCGCCTCTTCCTCCTCATCGCGCTCCCGGAGGCTGGAGCCGCCCAGCCCCCCGGACACGAACTCCACCTCGGTCTCCAGCTCGCTCTCCAGGATGTGGCCGCCGAACAGCGGGGGCAGCGCCAGCTCCGAGCCTGGAGGGGCTGAGAACTCTTCAAAGCCCACGGCTGCCATGGTCCTGTAGGGGCCAGGGGGACTCAGGGACCCTGAACCTCCGGGCCCCTGCTCCTCCCTCCAAGCCGGGAGGCCAGGCCCCCCAGCCTCTCCTTCAAAGGATCCAGAATTCAAGCCCTGACCCCCGAGAGAGTTCAGACCCCCCCCCCCATTCCTCCTCCTAAGTATTTAGGGAAATTCAAGGTCCCAACCCCTCACTGAGACCCAGGAATCCCGGCTTCCAACCTCTTGACCCCCCCTCCTCCTCCCCAGCCCTCATCCCCCTAGGATGCCTGAATACAGACCCCAGCCCCTAATAAAAAATTCTAACCCAAAGCCATTCCACGAACTACAACCCCCATCAGCCCTCAGGGCAAAGCGCGGATGATAGTATATGCTGCAGCCGCACCGTCTCTTGGGATTTCCCCCAAAGCCCCTTACCCCTCTCTCTGCTCCAGCTCCATTTCTCCCCGGCTCCCGGCGCAGAGCTCCCGACGCTGCAAACCTCTAGGTTAAAGTGCTTCGCAAAACTACACGCCCCATCAGAGTCCACCGCCAAGTCCACCGGGGCTCGGCCGCTAAGCCTCCTGGGAGTTGTAGTTCTCTATTTCCGGCTTTCCTCTCTCGCCCCCCCCCCCCACCCGCCACCCCGAGTCCCGGCCCAAAGGCCCTTGCTCTCCGGTCTCACGCCGCCACCGGTCGTCCCGAGTCGCCTCCGCCTTTATCCTGGTCCGGACGCCGCGCCGCCTGACCACGGCGACTCTCCGCCCGGGAGGCTCGGTCCTCGGCGGGCCGTGGGCCGGGAGAAGCCCCTCGCCTCGCACCCGCTCAGCCCCGGCCGTCCCCGCCCAGCGGCCGGTGCTAATAAAGTTGTTGTTCCAACCGCGCGCCTGAGGGACGGGGCGCGAGGGACCAATCAGAGCGCAGCGCCGAGGCGGCCGCGGCGCGGGGGCGTGACGTCATCAGTGCGCGTCATCGAGCGGCGCCCGGAGCTGATTTCCTGGGAGCCGTCGCGCGCGGAGGGAAGGCGGTGGTGAGTGCGGCGGCGGCGGCGGCGGCGGCGGCGAGGGGAGCGCGGCGGCCGGCGCGCCTGTCGCGGGCGGGGAGGGCGGCGGCCGAGGGCGAGGACATGGCTGACCGCCCGGAGGTCGGGGCCCCCGCGACGGCAGGACCCCCCTCCCCACACCCCGGCCCTCAGCGCCCTCCGCCCGGGGAGGCGGGCGCTGAAGTCCCCACGGTAACCCCCAGTGGATGGGGTGCCGCGGGCGTGCGGGCTGTCACCGAGAGTGGGGTGCGGGGGTCAGGGAGCTGGGGTACAGGGCGAGAACGGGCGGCTGAGGAGGGCCCGGGCCCGTAGAAGTGGGGGAGACGTGGGCGAGGTGAAGGGGGGCAGGTGAGGACTCGTGGGCCGGGAGGTGGGGATGGGGCAGGTTGGGGTCAGGCGACGTCTCGGTGCCCGCCCCGCGCCGGGCGCTGGGGGAGCGAGGGAGCCATGAACGAAGCGGGGTCTGTTCTCATGGAAACGGTAGCTTCACGGGGAAGGCGGGCGTTCAAGTGTTAGGGATTAGATGTTGGGGTGGTTAGTCCTCTGTCCGGGTTTCTGAGCGGTCACATGACCAGTTACTGGGGTTTCGCTGTTTGTCCTATTTGGTTGTTTGTTGTTGTTGTTGTTGTTTTTAAATATATTTTATTGATTTTTGTACAGAGAGGAAGGGAGAGAGATAGAAAGCTAGAAACATCGATGAGAGAGAATCATCAATCAGCTGCCTCTTGCGCATCCCCTACTGGGGATATGCCCGCAACCCAGGTACACGCCCTTGTCCGGAATCGAACCCGGGACCTTTCAGTCCACAGGCCGACGCTCTAGCCGCTGAGCCAAACCGGTTTCGGCTGGTTGGTTTTTTTTGTGTGTTTTTTTTTAGCACCAGAGAGCATTTCCCCCATCGCTTATTAGAGACAGTGGGAGGGAGGGTGAGGGAGATGGGGGGGAGAGAGAAACATCGATGTGATAGAGACACGTCCATTGGCTGCCTCCCAGCCCACATCCCCACCGGGGAGATCCAGCCTGCAACCCAGAGACTTGCCCCCTTGACTGGGATCCGAACCCGGGACCCGTCTGTCCGCAGGCCAGTGCTCTCTCCACTGAGACACACCAGCCAGGCAGGATGTATCTCTTTAGCCTTAAGGAGGGGGGGGGGGTGCTGTGTCTTGTCAGTGAGGTGTGAGGTACGGCTGGAGATTATCTGGGCTCTGGGGGTTTGTTCGTGGGTTAATTCAGTTGGTGTTTACTGAGCACAGTTAGGAGCGGGAGAGCAACGCAGATGAAAATGCCGGTCCTGTGGAGCCTGCGTGCTGGCGGGGTGGACGCGGCTGGACCAGGCCTTCTGGGGGGAAGCCCCTCGGTAATGAGGGGCACCCTGCTCTACCCCCAGTAGGCCTCGGGATGTCTCTGGCAGACGAGCTCCTGGCCGACCTCGAGGAGGCAGCGGAAGAGGAGGAAGGAGGCAGCTATGGGGAGGAAGAGGAGGAGCCGGCGATCGAGGATGTGCAGGAGGAGACGCAGCTGGATCTGTCTGGTGATTCGGTCAAGAGCATCGCCAAGCTGTGGGACAGCAAGATGGTGAGCGGCCGCGGCTGGGCTGGACGGGAGCTCTGAGGGCATGGTGGGCGGGGCCTCCTCCCTCACCCATCCCTGACCCGCCTCTCCTCCCCAGTTTGCTGAGATCATGATGAAGATTGAGGAGTACATCAGCAAGCAAGCCAAAGCTTCGGAAGGTACCCTCCACCTCCCCTCGGCTTCATCCCGCCCGGTACCCCACCGTCCGGTCCCCGCCAGGCCCCTGGGCTCCTTCAGTGCTTTTGCGGCTTTGAAAGCTGGTCGCCCTCCCTACCGTCCTTTCCCTGAGCCCTCTTCTCCTGCATCCCAGCCCAGTCCCCTTCTCTCCGAAAAGATGCTGCGTTTTACAGCGCTCGCCGATCGCCTAGGCCTCTGTCCAGGTTTCTAAGCGGGTCACGTGACCACTTACTGGTGTTTCGCTATTTGTCCTGTTTGGTTGGGTTTTTTTTAGCACCCAGTTTTATTTCTTATTGTCCAGTTACAGTTCACATACAGTATTAGTTCCAGGTGTACAGCATAACGGTTAGACATATATCTTTCAGAGTGGCCCCCTGCTAAGTGCAGTGCCCACTTGGCACCATCCACAGTGATTATAATACTAGAGGCCTGGTGAGTGAAAATTCATGCACTGCAGTGGGGCGGGGAGGGGTGTCCCTCAGCCCGGCCTGCCCCCTCTCAAAGTCCGGGAGCCCTCAGGGCCAGAAGGCGACCCAGCAATCAGGGGAAGGCTACACCCCATCACACCTCTGCTGCTGCCACTGCTGGTAGCACAACTTTGGCCGGCCCTGGTTACCTGAGCCTCAGGCAGACCTGGGTGGTTAGGGATGCTGAGGGCGCGTCCAGCCGCACCATGCACCTGTCTCCCCCACTTCCATCCCCCTCCCACTGGCTGGGCTGGAAGGACTGTGGGACTCTGGCAGGGCTGAGGGGCCTGGGCACCGCCAGCTTGGCGATGACATGACGGTCAACTTGCATATCCTCTCTTTATTAGATAGGATTATTGATGATGTTCCCTGTGCTGTACTTTGCATGCATCCCCTTGACTGTTTTGTTTTTATGTGTGTGGGTTTTTTTAAAATATACATTTTATTGATTTCAGAGAAGGAAGGAGAAGGAGGGAGAGATAGAAGCATCAGTGATGATAGAGAATCACTGAGATCCAGCCCCAACACCAGGCATGTACCCTTGACCGGGAATCGAACCATGACCTCCTGGTTTACTGGCCAACGCTCAACCACTGAGCCAACACCAGCCAGGTTCCCCCTGACTGTTTTTGTAACGCCAATTTGCACTTTTTAATCCTTTCACCTTCTCCTCCCAGCCTCCCAACCCCCTGCCACATTTTCTTTACACCAGCGTACCACTTTCATTAAACGTACCTCAGAAGGAGAGCTGTGTTACTGTGAGTGGAAAGCTGAGTGCCATTTGGTAGACAGGAAGTAACCGCAGACGTGCAGGATTACTGAGCGTCCTCCCTCCCAGCTGGGGGCAGCGCTGGGCTGGCTCCTGACCGTCGGGGCCAGCTCTCGGTGTGGTCCTGTTGCTGCCCATCCCTCCCGCCAGGAGGTTGGCGGGAGGTTGTCAGCACAGGGGTGACGTCAGAGCGGAGTGTTGTCAGCACAGGGGTGACGTCAGAGCGGAGTGTCAGAGACATTCACTCTCTTTCTGCAAAGGGAAGACGGGCACCTCGGGGCAGGCACCCAGAGGGGTCAGCCGAGGTCAGCAGGTCCCAGGCAGCAACTGGGGGGCAGTACCTGCTGGGGGGGAGGGAGCTGGGACCCTCTGCAGCCACCGGAGGGCCAGCTGACCCTGCCTCGGGGGCCAGGGTAGTAGTGATACCTGGATTGGACGTGGAAGTGTGAATGTGTGCCAGGTGCATGGCGGGTTGGAGGGTGACCAGGGAAAGAGAGCTGCGTGGGCAGAGCCGCGGGCACGGGCACCCACTGCTGTCTCTCGCCCTCACAGTGATGGGACCGGTGGAGGCGGCGCCCGAATACCGGGTCATCGTGGACGCCAACAACCTGACCGTGGAGATTGAGAACGAGCTGAGTGAGTCGGGGGAGCAGACAGCCCTGCCTGGGGCGGGGGGGGGGGGGGTGCAGGCAGGGTCCCCCGGCCTCTCCCCGAGCCCCTCCTGCTGCCCGAGCCCGCCTCTGCTGCTGGGGCCGGGGCTGCCCTGAGAAGGAAGTGCGCCTCCCTCTGCCCGAGTGGGAGCCCGGCGGGCGGTCCGGCTGGGCCTGGGGTGGCAGTGTCTGCCACCCAGGCTTTTTCTTATTTATTTTCTTAAATGGTTTCTGATGGTTTTTAGAGAGAGAGGGAGGGAGAGATAAGAACACCGATGAGAGAGAAACATTGATTAGCTGCCTCCTGTGTGCCCCCCGCTTCCTCCCTGGGAATGGAGCCCATAACCTTGGCATGGGCCCTGACTGGGAATCGAACCAGGGACCTTTTGGTTCATGGGTCAACACTCAACCAGTGAGCCACACTGGCCAGGCCAGGCTCTTTTATGTTGTGGATCTGCTGCCTGTTTGGTGGTACCAGGTGACTGCCCACTTCAGCCATCGCCTCCCCGTCCCCACCAGCAAGACGGCTGAGCCGGGGGCCCAGCTCTCCTTTCAGGGGTGCCCTGAAGCCGCACCCCTCAGCTCTGGACCAGCACTGACACATCCGGCCTGCCCAGCAGTGAGGGAGCGGGACAGGGCCCTTCATTCTGGGGGACCTTGCGCCCCGCGAAGCTCAGGGGTTCGGTCACTAAAGCGAGAGGGAGGTGGATGTGGGGACCGCCAGCCGTCCGCCTGTCCCTCATCAGATGCCTCCCGCCCCGCCCGCCTCAGACATCATCCACAAGTTCATCCGGGACAAGTACTCGAAGCGCTTCCCCGAGCTGGAGTCGCTGGTCCCCAACGCGCTGGATTACATTCGCACGGTCAAGGTGGGCGCGGGGCTCCGGGAGGGGGGGGCCGCCCCCGGACCTGGTGGGGAAAGGCTGCCCGAGACGGTGAGCACAGGAGCGGGAGCAAGCTCAGCTAGTGACGTCGGAGGCCCCATCTGCCTCCCTCGCCCTCGGGGCCTGGAGGGGTGACGGCTGGTCCAGCTGCTGCCAGCTGCCCAGTGTGAGGGCGGAGCCCGGAAAGGAGGTCCTCTCGGCTCCTCCTCCCCACCCTCTGCTCCCTGGCTCTCCGGAGAGGAGAGGGGTCTTCCGAGGGAGAGTGGCCCCGGGAGCGGGGGCGGAGCAGTGGTGTGGAGAGCTAACGGGGCAGCCGGGCAGAGATTCGGGGGAAGAGTGTTCAGTGTCGGGTCCCCGATGGGTAAGGAGCCTAGGGGGTTCAGGTAGCGAGAAAAAGGAAGTGAGGAGGCAGAGCTGACGAGATCTGGTCACGTCTGGCCTCCAGGCCTCCAGGCCTTGGGGCTCAGGTGCCGGTGACAGCCAGGCCCAGCCCGAGGCTCCACGGGTCCCCGAGGGGCGGGCGGCGGTGGGCAGATCCGCGCTGAGGGTCGGTTGCTCTGGTCCGTGTCCGCATCTGCCAGCGCGGGGCGGACGGAGCTGTGCTTTGAGCACTGATGCTCTCGGGGCCGGGGGGGGGGGGCGAGAGAGGCACCTGGCACAGACCCCAGCTCTCCCAGCACCCGGAAGGGATGAGGGGGCAGGAGCAGGAGGGCCTGGAGCCCCCGGGCCTCCATGCCACCCGTTCATTGCCGCCGCCTCACCCCCAGGAGCTGGGCAACAGCCTGGACAAGTGCAAGAACAATGAGAACCTGCAGCAGATCCTGACCAACGCCACCATCATGGTGGTCAGCGTGACCGCCTCCACCACCCAGGGGTGCGTACGCCAAGGGAGGGCAGCAGGCGCGGTCCCGGGTCCCAGCAGCACCGGTGTCCTTCTCGTGGACAGTTCACTTCGGTGCCAGCCCGGCAACAGGCCGGGCTTGGGGGTCCCCACCGAATGAGGAGCCAGCCTTGTCCTGTGGGCAGGCGCTCTCCCTCGGTGGCAGGTTCCCGGAAGCGGGTGCAGAACTAGCAGCTGGAGGTGGCCCTGCCCTCCCAGAGCTCCTGTCTGGGAGGAGGAAGTGCATGCACAGGTCAAAGGCCAAAGGGCACGTGTCAGACACGGAGGAGGGGCTGGGTCGGGAGCTCCCTGGAGGAGGTGGTTGGCCCAGCCGCAGGCAGGACCGAGCTCTCTGCGGGCGAACAGCAAGCCCCCAGCTTGCCACTGCTGAGGGTGATGGTCCTCAGGCTGCACACACCTGCATGCGTGCACACGAACACGCGTGTGCACACAGCGGGGGGCGGGGCTCCCACACAGCAGGCAGACGGGGACCCAGCCGTGTGGTCCCCCCTCCCTGCAGGCAGCAGCTGACGGAGGAGGAGCTGGAGCGGCTGGAGGAGGCCTGTGACATGGCGCTGGAGCTCAACGCTTCCAAGCACCGCATCTACGAGTACGTGGAGTCCCGCATGTCCTTCATCGCGCCCAACCTCTCCATCATCATCGGCGCGTCCACGGCCGCCAAGATCATGGGTGAGCCCGGGGGGAGGGGCGCCGTGTCCTCCGCGAGGTGGGCCTGGTCCCGGCAGGGCGTCCCGGCCCCGCGGCCCCGGTAACCGAAACTCCCAGGGTGCTGGGTGAAGCAGCCGTGTTCTCGGGCCTGGTCTGCCACCAGAACGGCTTCACCCACCGAGACGTACTGTCTCTGATGTGCAGGTGCGGGCAGGCTGGTCCCCCTGAGGACGTAGATGCAGGCTCCCCGGGTGGTCACGTGGCCATCCCTTACGCGGTCACATGGCCGTCCCTCTGAATGGTCACATGCCATCTCCTTTATGGTCACATGGCCGTCCCTCTGAGAGGTTACATGGCCATCTCCTCGTGTGGTCACATGACCATCTCCCTGTGCAGTCACATGGTCATCTCCTGTGCAGTCACATGGCCGCCCCTCTGTGTGTGCGCGCATATCGCCTTTTAATGGCACCAGTCCTGTGATGTCCCGTCACCTAATCGCCTCTGTAAAGGCCCCGCTCCCAGATACGGTCTCGCTGCTGAGTACGGGGTGGGGTGAGGACGCCAGCATGTGAAGTTTGGGGCTAGCGGTGGGCCCCCGGCAGCCGCCTTCAGGGCAAGTGTGTGCAGATCAGAACTCGGTGTGGGTCCTGCTCCCTCTCCCTGGCCTCGCAGCCCTGGGCAGGCAACCTCACGTGCCTCAGTTTCCCCAAGGATGACTGGGGTTGCCTTGGCTTCCTGTAGCGGCTGTGACAAATGACCGCAAAACAAGCTTCTCCCCGACTCCCCTGTCACCTCATGACTGGACATTCCCGCACGGAGGCTCCGCAGGACCGGCCCCTGGCCTGTTCCCGCTGTAGAGGCCCCCCAGTCTGCTCTCCCGTCTGTGAGAGCCTATCGCTTCCACCTCGAGGGGCCCTCAGGTGGCACTGAGCCCGGTCCCCCCAGGGCGGTCACCCCGACTCGGGGCCTTCACTTAGTTGTCCGCAGAGGCCCTCTGGCCACGAGAGGCACCGTGGAGACTGCGATGGCCTCTCGGGGCTGTTCTGCCCCCCGTGGGCTGGCACGCTGCCTGAGGCTCATTTTAGGGGTTCCTCCGACGAGCTGACGGTTTCCCTTAAAGACACCCAGCACCAGCTCAGCAGCAAACACAGCGGGGTTTCTCTCTGACAGCCCCCCTCCCACCCCTGCCCTGCAGACCGGCTCGGGGGACCCCGGGGTCGCCCCAGGGCGGGCTGTGCTGCTTCTCCGACCGAGCTGGCTCCTCGTGGGCCCTCTGCTCGCTGTGCGTCCAACCGGACTCGGTAAAGCACGCGGACAGTGCCCTGCCCTCCTCACCGCCCCTCCACCGCTGCAGGGGTGGCCGGCGGCCTGACCAACCTCTCCAAGATGCCCGCCTGCAACATCATGCTGCTGGGCGCCCAGCGCAAGACGCTGTCCGGCTTCTCGTCCACGTCCGTGCTGCCGCACACCGGCTACATCTACCACAGCGACATCGTGCAGTCCCTGCCCCCGGTGAGCCCGCGGGCGGCAGGCGGGGGGGAACGGGGCCGGGACCCCGCAGCGCCTCTGGCCAGCTGGGTGACCTCAGGCAGGAGGCCTGCGCTCTGCCTCGGCCTTTCCATCTGGAAAGTGGGAGATGCTCCCTGGCAGGAGGGAGGAGCGCTGCCAGGCAGGAGCGGGCCGTGGGGCTGGCGTTGGGGAGCCCCGTGGCCTCAGTGATCCTCGCCCTGACTCGCCTCCGTTCCCGGTCTCCCAGGATCTCCGGCGGAAGGCGGCCCGCCTGGTGGCCGCCAAGTGCACGCTGGCAGCCCGCGTGGACAGCTTCCACGAGAGCACGGAGGGCAAGGTGAGGGCGGCGGCGGCAGCTGAGCTGGTGCTGAGGGCTGTCCCGGCGAGCGATTGTGGCCCTGCCGAGGTCACTCTCTCTCTCCACCCCCCCACCCCCACCCCACATCTGCTTCCTGTGGCCGCTGCTCTTAGCAAATGCCCACAAGCCAGTGCTCAGCGCAGCACAGGAGCGGAGCCCACAGGCTCGGGTCGGTCCGGAGTGGGTTCTGCAGGGTCAGACCAGGTGTCGGCCCGGTTGTTCCTTCGGGACCCCGGGGAGGTGGGTGCCGTGCCCTCTCCCACTGCCAGAGGCCCCTCCCCGCAGCGTGGCCTCCCGCTGCCTCTGAGGACGTGGCGACGACATCGGCCCACACCCTCCCCACCCCTCTCCTGACCTGAGCCTGACCCGGTCACAGGGGCCGGAGACGCCTGCGTGGGCCCTCTGGGGACGGGGTGTGGCCGCCATTCTTCCCTGCTGGGCTGGGGCCTGTCCCCCCACAGCTAACCCGTCTTCTGGCTCACTTGTTCCCAGAGAGGAGAGGCGTTTCCTGTCTCTGCATTGTTGTCCCAAGCACCCAGCCTGGCGGCAGCCAGGGCTTCAGTCCTCCCTCCCCCCTCTTTATCTTTTTCTCCCTCTCCCTCTCCCTCTCTCTCTAGTCTGATCTGGAGGCTGGGGGGCAGGGTGAGCAGCACAGACATAGCCCTGCCTCGGGTATTCATCTTCCATTGGGGGAGGGGGAGGACAGCAGTTAGACCTGTGGGTGTCCCGTGTGCCCTGTGGGGTCAGTGCCAGGAGAGAAGCGAAGGCATTGGGTGCCTCGGGGAGGGGGGCTCACGGGGACCTGAGAGAAGGTGGCAGGCAGATCTCGAACCTCGTTCACACCGGGGTGGTCAGTGTCAAGGCCCCGAGACGGGTGCACAGCCAGCCTGGGACCTGGGGGGGCGGGGGGGCGCCTCGGGTGCTCGGGCTCAGCAGACATGCTGAGAAGAGGCCCATTCGGGGGCGAGAGAAATGGGGTGGAAGCTTATTAACCTCTGGGCATCCTTCTTGCTGACTGTGGGGAGTGGGAGGGTGAGAGGAGGGGCGGGCAGGCGTTCTCGGAGGCTGTGGTATCCGGGTGTCTCGGGGGATCAGTCGGGGATCAGCCCAGGCACCGCAGCCCCTCCCGTGCCCGCAGGTGGGCTACGAACTCAAGGACGAGATCGAGCGGAAGTTCGACAAGTGGCAGGAGCCTCCCCCGGTGAAGCAGGTGAAGCCGCTGCCTGCGCCCCTGGACGGGCAGCGCAAGAAGCGAGGCGGCCGCAGGTGGGGCCGGCGGGCGGCGGGGCGGGCGGGGAGGGGCTCCCCTGTCCCCGCTGGCCCCCCTGACTCCCGGTGCCCGCCCTCAGGTACCGCAAGATGAAGGAGCGGCTGGGGCTGACGGAGATCCGCAAGCAGGCCAACCGCATGAGCTTCGGAGAGGTGGGCCCGGGCCCCCCCGGCCCTGTCCCTGCTGCGCTCCTGGCTCTGTCTGTGGCCCTCAGATCTGGTCCCCCCGCCTCCTCCCTGGTCTCCAGCCCCGGGCCTCTCTCCCCTTGGCTCTCCATCAACCCGGGATCCTGGTCTGGGCCCTGCTGGCCACCCCGCCCCTCCTCCCCGCCCCTCCCATGCCCTGTGTCACACGCCCTTCCCCAGTCTCACCGGAGCACCCTCCTGGTCCCACAAGAACCACACACTCACACACACCCCACCTGTCAGCCTGGGGAGCAGTCACAGGGCCCATGGGGGGGTCCCAGGACGGGCTGGTGGGGCGGACGCCGCCGGGGGTTCTAGCCGATGGAGGGGTGACTGACTCCGGGCGCCTCGCCTCCCCCAGATCGAGGAGGACGCCTACCAGGAGGACCTGGGCTTCAGCCTGGGCCACCTGGGCAAGTCGGGCAGCGGGCGCGTGCGGCAGACGCAGGTGAACGAGGCCACCAAAGCCAGGATCTCCAAGACGCTGCAGGTGCGGCCGGGCCCGGCGTGGGGGGGGGGGACAGGCGGCCCCGGGGGAGGACCCAGGTGGGCAGCCCAGCTCACAGCCGCCCTCCCCCTCCCCCTCCCCCACAGCGCACCCTGCAGAAGCAGAGCGTGGTGTACGGCGGCAAGTCCACCATCCGCGACCGCTCCTCGGGCACCGCCTCCAGCGTGGCCTTCACGCCGCTCCAGGTACCGGGAGCCCCTCCCCGGCTTGCGCTTCGCCTGTTCACTCGGGGGAGGGGCTGTGCGTGGGGGGCAGGGGCTGATGTCCAGGGGCCAGGCCATCTCCTCACCCAGCTGCGTCTCCCTCCCCGGCCAGGGCCTGGAGATCGTGAACCCCCAGGCGGCCGAGAAGAAGGTGGCGGAGGCCAACCAGAAGTACTTCTCCAGCATGGCCGAGTTCCTCAAGGTCAAGGGCGAGAAGAACGGCCTCATGTCCACCTGAGGGCGCACCCGGGGCGCCGCCCACGGCTCGCGCGGAGGCCATGTGCGCCCGCGGGGTCAGGGCCGGGGGCTCCGGCGGCGGGGGGAGCCGGCCACTGCCCAGTGCCCGGACCGACCAGGGGGGCACGGAGGCCCCCGCACCCAGATCGCCGCCCCCGTCCGGGGCAGAAGGGTGCCCGCCACACCTCGTCTTTGTCCCTCTACCTGGGAAAGGAGATACTTTGGGGGAAAGTGTGATTAAAAGGACATTGTCAGAACCTGTGATCGTGTGTCAAGCGCCGCAGGAGCCAGAGCTTCCGGGTTTGGGGGACGGAGCCTGGGCCCCAGGAAGAGGAGCGCCCCCTCTGTCCACCCGCCTCGGCCCGTCATTTCACACCAAGCACGGCGTCTGGGGAGCCCGGCTCCCGCGCAGGCCCACTCAGTCCACTGATGCCAGAGGCACCCGGCACAGGACGGCCCCCCGGGAACTGGCACTGTGCCCCGTCTGCTGGGAGCTCCGCTGCTGTGCCAGGCTCCGCTGCTCACCAGGTACGAGAGGAGCCGCGTCGGGGGGCACGTGGGCCGGCCAGGGCCTCCCTCCCTGGTGTAAGCAGCAGGCTGAGGGCAGGTGGGGAAAGGCCTCCGGGAATGACTTAAGCAGTCCAGTTGGGAACCCTTGGTTACCCTGCAGGGCCTGATGGGGGGTGGCGGTGCCGCCCACAGCCCCGTCCACTGCACCCTGAGCCGGACGCACGGGCACCGAGGAGGCCGCCCAGTCCCTCATCTGCTAAGTCAGGGCCCTTCTACTTCCTGGGGGAGGGAGAAACTCCTCTCCCCTCATGTCCTCTGGGCTGGGCTCAGGCATGCGGCGGGTCAGCCAGAGGAATCACCCAGCTTAATGCATTACCTCTTAACTCTCCCTATGGGCACTCCCCAGTTCAGATTCCTCCCTTAGTTAGGGGAGGGGGTGCGGGGCCTGGGCTGGTACCACTGAGAGGGGGCAGCCCTGCAGAAGGGGGCGTCTCCTGTCTGCCCGCCTCCCGCTGTCTCCACAGCCTTCCTGGGTCTCGCTTCCGGGTCCAGCTGCAATCTCCCTGTCTGTTCCTCCCTGGGCCGTCCCCCCCCCCCTCCCAACTCAGGGCTCGCCGTGTGTCCCAGGACCCCAGTCCCTCCCACCCACCAGATTACCCGTCACACAGCTTTCCCCAAGTTTGTGCTTGAGCCTGAAGTTCTGAGTAATTAAAAGTGCCGGGGAAGGGTCCCATCTCCCCTGGCCAGAGCGACTCTCATGGTGTGTGTGTGGCGGGGGGCAGGGGCAGATCTCAGGACAGAATCGAGTCGCCTGCCCTGCTGTCCTGTGTATTACAAAGATCCTCGAAGCTTACTGTGCTTCAGAGCTGCCTGTAAGGTTTGATAGAAACAGGCTGCAGGGCCCGGAGCTTCTGATTCCGTCCGTTTGTCACAGGCTCAATGCTGTGCGTTTCTAACAAGGTCCCAGGTGATGTCTATGCTGAGGTAGGGGCCACACTCGGCACTGCTGCTCCAGAAGATGAGGTGCATGCTGGGATCATCTCAGATGTTTCACCATTACTGCTACCAGGCTCTGATCCCCAGATTTATTTTTTAACATGTTTTTATTGCTTTCAGACAGAGGAAGGGAGAAGGAGAGAGAGAGAAAAGCATCAACGATGAGAGAATCATTGATTGGCTGCTGCCTGCACACCTCACACTGGGGGGTCGAGCCCCCAACCTGGGCATGTGCTCCTGATTGGAATCAAACCAGGACCCAGTCCTGGTTCATAGGTTGACCTTCAGCCACTAAGCAACACCGGCCGGGCCCCAGATTTAATTTATTTTTATTGCACCGGTTACAGTGAGGCCTGACGGGGTTTTGAAAAAGCCACCAGGTGGTTCTATTTGCAGCCACATTGGCAAGCCAGTGCTCTGGATCTTTCTCTTCGATGTGGGGGCTGTGGACGCTCCATTCACCCGGGAACTTGTTAGAAAAGCAGGACCTGGGACCTTCTGGACCAGGGTCTGCATTTTGACCATGCCACCCCCTCACCCCAAACCATTCCTGGGAAGTCCCCACGCAGGGGGACACTTTGAATAGCAAAGCCCCACATCAAAACTCAAAACGGTAATGAACCCAGGGATCAGCTGGCAAGTCTGTAAAAGTACAAATCTCTGGGGCTGTGTGGCCCAAAGAACATGGTTTCTTTCTTGTTAATCCTCATCCGAGAATATGTTTTTTATTGATTTTAGAATAAGGTGACCAGACGCCCCGCTTTTGGCGGGACAGTCTCGATTTCTAACAATTTGTCCCTCGTCCCGCAGCGTTTTAAAAAAGTCCCAATTGGGACTTTATTTTTTTTTTAATATATTTTATTGATTTTTTACAGAGAAGAAGAGAGGGATAGAGAGCTAGAAACATCGATGAGAGAATCATCTACCGGCTGCCTCTTGCACACCCCCTACCGAGGATGTGCCCGCAACCTACGCTCTACCACTGAGCCAAACCGGTTTCGGCCGATTGAGACTTTTTTAAAACGCCTCGGGACAGGGGACAAATTGTTAGAAATCGGGACGTCTGGTCACCTTGTTTTAGAGAGAGAGATGGATGTGAGAGAGAAACTGGTCAGTTGCCTTACACGTACATCCCAACTGGGGATTGAATTGGAAACGTGTGTATGTGCCCTGCCCAAGAGTCAGACCCGTGACCCTTCGGGGCATCAGATGATGCTCTGACGATTGAGTCACACTGGCCGGGGCAACCTTGCATTTTTACAAGCATCCTTATCTCCCTTGTCACAGGTGATTCTGATCAGTTCTCACTTGCTTTTCCCTGACATTCCTCCACCTAGAGATAATGAGCAAATCAGGCTTCCCATCTTGATGGGCGTGATCCTTAGCAAGTCTTAACCACAGTCATTCCTTGCATTCATTCATTCGTGTAGCAGAGGGTCACCCTGGGGATGCAAAATCCATAAGGAGAGGGTTGAATAATGACGAAAATGATGTCAGACGTGCAAGCGTCCATCCGAATGAACACACGGGGCTCTTGAGCACTTGGTGCCCAAGTCAGGGAAGTTTTCCTCCCGAGAGTGGAGCACAGAGCCGAGCTATTAAGGGCCAATAGGCAATAGGTGGTCACCGTGGGAGGGGAAACCTAATCGCACCTGTACCTTCTGCTCCACCGAAACCAGGGTGCAGAGGAGAGGAACGGTCACCTAACCCTCCGAGGCAGGACCAAACTCCGTGCCTCCGCGGCGCTTCCCCACTAAAGCAGCTTCGCGTGGCGCCAGTGACTTGGGGCACTGTCTCGTGCTTCCTCCATCAAGGACTGAGTCTCAGAGATCTGCCCCACACAGGCACCTGGAGACCGGCCGTGCCGCCGAGGGATAGAGAAGGATGCGCCCCAGTTCCTGGGTCTGCCTGCTACGCCCTGTTTCACACGCTGGAAGAGCGGGTACCGCCCCCTCGCTACTCTATTGGACGACCTGGCATGAGTGATAACAGTCAGGGCCAATGAGGGGGAAGGGGTGGGCCTTCTTGCTCAGCTCCTCCCCCGTGGCCCAGGAGATATTTTGATTGGCAGATGACTTCAGCTTTGAAGGCACCTGTCTGTATCCCATTAGGTCCTCGGTCCTTAACTCCCACTCTGCATGCCTTCCTCCACTTTCCCTACCCACTTCCAAGACCGACCAATGGCTTCAGGATGGACTATTCCTTCCCAACCAATTAAAAATGGTCCTAAACTTGACGGACGACTTCCCTCCCCTCATCAGCCTGGCTCCGCCCCCCTGCCAATTGGTTTAGGAAAGGGGGGCGGGTGTGTCCAATCAGCACGACACCAGCCTCTTGATTGACGCGCGGGCCCTCGCGCTGGCGTGTTGTGCCTTGAGGCGGGAGGAGGAGGAGGGACGGGGAACAAAACCCGAGCCAATCCTAGTAGCCTGCGCGGGAGGCCAATCAAACGCCGCGCCTTGGAGCAATTGTCCAATCGGCGAGAGGGGGCCGAACGCATCCCTGCCAGGGACCAATAGGACGCGCCCGAGCGGCAGGAGCGACGTGCAGCAGGCGCAATGGCCGGGCTATATTCAGGGCTTGGGGGCGGATCGGCGCCAGAGACGAGAAGAGAGGAGGGGAGGCCTCCGCCGCCGCCATCTTGGACCGGGCCCGTCAGCTTCCGCGGAGCCATCGGCAGACGCCGCGGCCTCCCTTGAGCCCCGACCCCGTCGTCAGAACAACCCCGGGCCCACTTCCCCCCACCCCACTTCCGCTCCGCGCCGTTATCGCGATAGCGCCCGGGCCCGGGGCGCGAGGAAAAAGGCGGCGGGCGCTCGCCTCCCTCGCCTATCGCGATACGCTCCTCAGCGGCGGCGCCAGCTCCTGTGGTGAGAGCGTCAGGCTCGACTGGGCCGGACCCCTTCCCTTCCTCCCCCCCCCCGGCGCCGTCGACCGCCTTCCCCGCCGCCCCCGCCCCTGCAACACCGCCTCCTGTCTCGACATGGCCGCCCCCGCCCCCGCGCGGCGCCCGTGGGGTCCCCGCCGTCCGGGCCGAGCGCGCCCCCCCCCCTCCGCCCGCGACCCGGGCCGCGCGTGGCGTCCGCGTCTGCCCCGCGGGGTGCGGGGAGCGAGCGCGGGCGCCGTGCCGCCCCTCGGCGTCCGCGCGGCCGCGGGCGCGGGGTGCCCGGTGCCGGAACCCCTTCCGGGCAGGGCGCCCCTTCACGTGGGTGAGGGGCTGCGAGCCCCCCCCACAGCCCTCGGGCAGGGCCGGCCGCCGGGCGCCCGCCACACGCGCCCGGCTCCTCGGAGACCGGGTGGGGTGAGCCCCCTGCACGCAGGACCCCGCTCCATCCCCGCTCCATCCCGGGCTCCGCAGCCCGAGGCCCCGCCAGTTTGCATTTAGGGCTCCGGTCCCGGCGGAAGCCCCGAGTCCGCCCGCCCGCCCGGGGAGCCGGCCTGCCCCGGGGTTGGTCCGGGCCGGCGGCTCCAGGTGCGGGTCCTCCCGCTGTCACT